CTTCCGATTTGGACGAATCATCCCTACCACGTTTCTGCTTGTTTTCTTCTAGAATCAATTCTCTTTCCTCATTGAAGAAACTGTCTGTCTTTTGCTTCTTAGCGGCATCAAAACTAACATCCTCCGTTGATGCATGTCGTTTTAATGATATCTCTTTTAATACTTGTACAACACTCGTAGGTGATCTGTTCTCTGCATGATAAATATTAGACAAAATCTTTTGCCTTTCTGGTGGAGAATACTTTGTCACATCTGGTGCTGCAACCCTAACTGTCACAGGCATTCTCATCTTTGTGGATTTTGCATTCAGCAGAGGAACTGGACCCGCATAAAGATTAACTTTCGGAAACTGCCCAGCGCCGTATTGAGATTGATGGGTTAATTTACTCTTTGCCTCTGTAGCATACTTGGTTAATCTCGTCGTAAGACCTGGCGATGTCACATCCGTATACACCCTTATTCAAGGAAAAAAACAAAATATACGTGTATAGTAGTTCTAAACATAAAATATTACTCGATACAAATAAATAGAAATATTTGTTACAATCTTATAATTATTTATAAAGAAAATACACTTACTTTGGATCGATATTATATCTTGTCGATGCTAACAATGGTCCAGCTACAGTCTGGACTGTCTTTATGCCCGCTGGTCTAGGACGCATCGCAGGACTAATACTCACGCCCCACGGAGAACCCTCAGGACTAAATTGCGTCGTGTTCTCCCCATAACTCAGCGAATGAGTATGAGGGGACATCCTCTTGAAAGGTACCCGGCGCAAGTCAGGATCGACGTCGCCGTTTCTAAAGTTCTCCTCTCTGTCACTGGGTTTGATCACCGGCGTGGAGGTGTGCTTGCCGAAGGCGGATTGTCGCTGTTGCCGCGACAGGCGATCATTGTCGCCGGCGTCGTAGAACTTACCAGCGTCCCCCGCGAGCACGTCATCGGCGCGTATGCGGCAAGGGACACGCAGGATCGGGCTCAATTGATCGATCGAGCTGAATCTGGATGCCGATAACGACGCGGACGTCGACGAGGTGTCCTTGCGCTTGACGGCGACGTAAGGATCGCTGCTCAGCTGATAAGCGCCCGCTTGTCGCTTAGGCATCCTGAATGGAAAATGTTCGCGGTAACAACGACTCGCACTGTGCCCGAGATTACGCACTTGTCCGATACCGTGACCGTAGGCGATCCGGAACGCCGCGCCGAGCTCGTGGACCACCTCGCTCAGGTAGCCGAGTATCTGATAAGCGTGCGGCGACACTAGGCTGTCGTTGGCGAGGAGGGAATAACACGCGTACACCACCAGGAGCAGGGTGAGCGCCAGCGCCAGGATCGCGCCCCAGGCGCCGTAGATCAGCAGGCACCCGCACGTCACGCTTATCAACACCACGGCAACGCGGTTACCGAGATCCCACATAGTACTGTGCTTCAAAAAGATAACCTCCCCATGTTTGAAAAGAGCACATTCACCACAATTGTCGGAACTTGCCCGCGGGCAATGAGATCATCGATATAAATCGATATACGTGTCTGGCCCGTCTGACGTCTGACGTCACCGTCGCCGATTATTGGCGGGAAAGGCGCCGAGCGCGAAGGTCTTTATCCGTTACTCCCTCATTTGAAATGCAAGGAAAAAGAGAGCGTCTTCTTCTTCTTCTTCGTGTGAGGGTTGGCTCCGACGAATACTCGTCACACGGCCATCAAGAGAGAGTAAAATCATTTAGAGAACTCTTTCTCTTTCTCCACATTTAAGGGTCGGCAGAAATGATGGACGAACTCCGAATTGATATTGGAGACCCCGAATAGTGACAACGCGAAACTCCAGTTTCAAGATTACCAACGCTGAGAAATAAATTTTCAAAGCTTATTTCTGGATGACGTATTGTTGCCTTGGATCATAGATATAAATAGACAGGCCCCTGCCGTGAGAGGCAGCGTGAGAGCATATGAGGGACGGAAATAGCATTCTATCTCTTTTTATTAGCGTATAGTGGGGGACTAGAAGGGGTGAGATGAAGACAAAGCAAACATACAGGGTATTCCAGTGAAACTTCAAGGTCTTATAGGAAATCGAATTTGGAACAAAAAACATTCTTATGAACATAGGACCGGAAACTCTTCGTTAAAAAGTTACAGAGCTAATAAACTTCGAAAAATCATGTTTTTTTGATGATTTTTAAAAATAACTTTAAAGGTCCGTATTCATAATCCGTTCTTATATTTAAGACCGTCTTAAAGCCCGTATCAGACTACGCATTGAAAATTGAAGATTAAAGATTGGAATTTGACTAATCAGAACAAAAGGGACTAAAATTTCTTTATTCTGATTGGTCAAATTTCGATCTTGAATCTTGAATCTTAATCTTCAATGCGTAGTCTGATACAAGCTTAAGTACAATCTTAAAATGTCATAAACCAATCACAGAGCCATATTAGTATCTTATTAAGGGCCAATTTCACCAAGTCCGGTTAGACCGTCGGTTCATCTAACCGGACTTGGTGAAATTGGCCCTAAGACATTATTTAATAGCGTTTTCGAATGAACGGATTAACCCAACCCGGTTCAATTAATCACTACATTTTACTATGAATTCAAGCCTTTTAATGGCAGAGACGATGCAATGACGTCATTAATTGCTCTGAGAGCGATTAAATTTGCTATACTCCGTCCAAAGAGAGAATGACCTCGGTCCGGATGAAAACTCGTCCGTTTCGCGCAGGTCTCCACCCACAGAAGCCGTATCTATGTATACGGTATTGAGTATCTCGCCATGTTCTTCCCACTTTGCCCGCTTATGCGCGGACCGAAGTCATTCTCTCTTTGGACGGAGTATACATTGGAAAACGCTAAAGCCCGTATCAGACTACGCATTGAAAATTGAAGATTGAAGATTAAAGATTGGAATTTGACTAATCAGAACAAAAGAGACTAAAATTTCTTTGTCCTAATTGGTCAAATTTCAATCTTGAATCTTCAAACTCAATCTTCAATGCGTAGTCTGATACGGGCTTAAAGGTACACGCGCATGAAATCGATGCGACCCGAATGACGAAGGTGTACCATTGCGCATGATGACATCATGCATGATGACGTAACGTACATCGAGCCAATAAGAAATGTCAAGGAATGCAGTCGCGAAATTCAAATGCTCGATTAATCTATATTACTAATATATATATGTTTAAACTTAAAATCTGTAATAGAATAATAATACTAAAAATAATAATAATAATAATACTCATTTAATTTAACAATAATAATTTAATTTAATTATCATAATACTCATATAATAATAATAACAACCTGTCAACAGCCATATTGGATTTTAACATTTCTGGGCATTTCTGATTGGCCATTTTTTCGTACGATTGCGCATCCATGGGACTTGTTACATCTTTCGCTGAATTATCTATTGTTCGATTAATCACAGGCCTGATTCCTGATAACACGAGGGCCATTGGAGCAGCGCACACGTGACAGGCTCCGAGACGTCGCGCGTGTCGTGAAAGAGAGACGGAGAGACAGAGGCGCGCGAGCTTAACCTAAATCTTATTAGGAGCACGCCGGTACGAGCGTAGGAAGGAAAAAATGTCGTGGTTATTCGGCTATCGCAATTCGCAGCCGCCGCAGGATTTTTCGCAATTCATCGCGCAACCGCCACCCGGGGCGGGTGGCGGCGATAGCGGCAGCGGTGGCGGTAACAACCCTCCGAAGATTAGCAGTTCTCAAATGGAAGCATACAGATTCGACTCGGGCGCCCTGGAACGAGCCGCCTCGGCTGCAAGAGAACTCGAACGATCCAGTACGATGTTTCTTTGTTATTGACAATCACTCGTGAGATGTAATTACGCGTAGAATTACGTAAGCCAGCGGTTTTATAGAGGTTAGGATGGGCACGCGCAGGAGGAGAAGGGACATCTCGCGTGCTCGATGACGCAACTTTCCGCGGTGAATTCACCGATTGATCCGGCGAATAATGATTTTTCCCGAACCTCCGAGACACGGATCTTCGTAAATGATACTGACGAGACGATGACAATGCCATTATTATTGATTGTCTGTTAATCAGTTACATACTTTACGATTTTATTATTTTAATTTTTTTTTTGAGATTTTTCTTAAATTATACATATAAATGTTATTGTAAAAAGTATTAATATCATTTTTGCTTTAATATTTTATAGAGAGAATATATAAAATATATATTATTAAAACGAGAGAATTTTTTTTTATAATAATACTAATTTTAAAAATTATAATGTATATAATTGATTGTATATTGTTATAAATTAAACTTATACTATTTGTTAATTGTTAAAAATGATAAAGATATTGTGAGATTATAAATTACTTATGGTAAAATAATTGATTGTTTACTTATCAGTTATATACCTGTTGTTTGCGATTTTATTATTTGAGATTTTTTGCGTTCATATTTTTCTTTAATTACATATAAATATTACTGCAGAAAGTATTAATATTATTTTTGCTCCAATATTTTATAGAAAAAAAATATATAAAAAATATATATTATTAAAATGAGATTTTCTATAACGTTAATTTTAGAAATGATATATAGTTGATTATGATATTGTTACAAATTAAACTTATACTATTTGTTAATTGTTGAGAATGTCAAAGATATTCTTTGTGAAATTATAAAATACTTATAGTAAAATATTATTTTATTTAACTATAGAACATGCAAGAGATGCCTTGGATCTATCCAAAATGCAAGAAACCACAAAACAAGTGGAATTGCAGACTGAAATGAAGAAGTACGAAGCCAGTATTGAACAACTTAAAGTGGAGCAAAAGCGAGTGGATGCTGACGAAAGAAGGAAAACCATGCAAGAAGAGACAAAGCAGCATCAAATGAGGGCACAATATCAAGATCAATTGTCTAGAAAGCGTTACGAGGATCAATTAATCCAGCAACAAAAAATGAACGACGAAAATCTGAGAAGGCAAGAGGAATCAGTAGCCAAACAAGAAGCCATGAGGAAAGCTACGATAGAGCATGAGATGGAATTGAGGCATAAGAATGAGATGAGAAAATTAGAGGCGGAATTAAAGGCCAAAGCAAAGGTTGACAGAGAAAATCAAGATCTTAATTTAGAACAGATTAGATTAAAAGCCTCGGAGAAGAGGATTACCGTTTTAGAATCTATAAAGTAAGCAAGCAATACATTACTTATATTTTATTATAATTATAAATTTAATTTCATAATTATTATATCTTTCAGAACAGCCGGCTCAGTATTAGGTTCGGGAGCCAAAGCCATGCTGGAAGATTGGGATAAGATCCTTGCGGCGGCGGGCGGTCTGTCGCTTGTAGCCTTCGGAATATACACTGCCAAAGGCTCGACTGGCGTGGCATCGCGCTACATCGAGTCTCGCTTAGGGAAACCGTCGTTGGTGCGCGAGACATCTAGATTTACGTTCCTCGATACCATCCAGCATCCAATTCAAGCGGCGAAGAAGCTGAAAAGCAAACAGACCGATGCGCTGTCCGGCGTAATTCTCGCGCCGAAACTCGAGGAGAGGCTGCGCGACATCGCGATAGCCACGAAAAACACGAAGCACAATCGCGGCATGTATAGAAACATACTGATGCACGGTCCGCCGGGAACCGGCAAGACCATGTTCGCGAAGAAACTGGCCGAGCACTCTGGTATGGATTACGCGATCGTGACGGGTGGTGATCTGGCGCCGTTGGGTAGAGACGGCGTAACTGCCATTCACAAGGTGTTCGATTGGGCGTTGACGTCCCGAAAAGGGTTACTACTATTCATCGACGAGGCGGACGCGTTCCTAAGAAAGCGCTCAAGCGAGCATATCTCGGAGGATCTCCGGGCGATGTTGAACGCGTTCCTGTACCGGACCGGTGAACAGAGCAACAAGTTTATGCTGGTGCTTGCATCGAATACGCCCGAGCAGTTTGACTGGGCGGTAAACGATCGACTGGACGAGATGGTGGAGTTCCGTCTTCCGGGTCGCGAGGAACGCGAGCGTCTAGTCCGCCAGTACTTTGACAAGTTTGTCCTGCAGCCGGCAATCGAGGGTAATAAGAGATTGAAAGTCGCGCAATTCGACTACAGCTCGCTGTGTAGCAAGATGGCCGATCTGACAGAAGGAATGTCTGGGCGAGAGTTGGCAAAACTCGGAGTCACTTGGCAAGCGGCGGCCTACGCCTCAGAGGACGGCGTGTTAACGGAAAAGATGGTCATGGATAGGTGTCTCGAAGCCATTAAGCAGCACAAACAGAAGGTGCTTTTTAATATTTAATATACTAAAAACACGAAGTCTGAAACTCATTTAAAAGATGTTTAACATATTTGATTACGACGTTTTTTTTAGACATGTGCTTGTATGAAATTCATGAAATATATGGAATTTACTTATGGTGTGTTGCTCATGTTACAGGTACAATGGCAAAGCGAGCAAGAGAAGCAAGAATCGAAGTCAATATATGCCATGGAGGACGATGCAATTATCCGTTCGACTTCAAAAATTCCGGCGATAGAACCATGTCCTACAATAGCCACAGCCTAGATAATTGCAAGACGCAATTGTGTATGGTCTTTGAAAGATCAGGTTAATAGCGAGATCCAATAAAATATGGAAGGGATAAAAGTACAAATGCCGCCCAGAAAAAGATTATTCTGGCGATTTTTGTATTGTAAGGCAGAGACGCACATTGGTCACTTGTTACAAATGTACATTTACATAGGACAATTAAATCGTAATTCTATAAATGCTTCTCATCGTCTCTCATCATTCATCTTTTCTTGTGACAGCGTGAAAACTCGTAATGAAGTCATTTTTCGTAAATTAAATGGATAATTTTTTTTTAGGCGGCTTCAAGAAGAATCGCAATTATGTTAATTTATATGTGTTTACTGAGAAAAAAAGGGGCGAATATCTTTTGCCGCCACAACAATGACATCGACAAGCAGACAGATACACCTTTGAGCTCGTCAAAAATGTTTTGAAACATTACACTAATTAATTCCTATCGTGATTTCTGCAGTAATTTAGATTATTTGAAACTTTAAGAAACGTTAAAAAATATCTTATATACGACGGTATAATATTTTATATTCGAGCACACATATATTTCCTTATCAATTATCTTCGTTTTTTCAGGAAAGTGCGACAAGATTGAATACTGTTGCAAGAATGCAATCGGTGTCGCGATTATTTTTGTGTTGTGAAAATAACGAAAAGATTTGACGACCTTGTAGAAAGAATCTCAGTCGTGTATATGTGAATCCATCTATCGATTTAATCTCTTCATCTGGCGTCTGATCCATCTGGCTTCTCTTGTAAATTCTCGCGACGAGATTATTATTATTGTTGCCATCCCGACAACACGTTACGACATTCGATTCGATTCGACAGACTATCAAATCGCCATTCTTATCACCGGCGTCTTCGAGCCTCGAGTCCGATTTTTTTTCGCAATTTTGTTATACATATACTCGCACATATTTCGTCAGATGTGCTCGGTATGATCACGTTATTGAGGCCGGTTACCCTTGCGTAATTATACATACACGCGATCGAGATAAAAGCGGCTCGCTGCTTATCATCGTACGACGTTAAGGACGACGTAAGAGAAAACTACGAGGCGCAGCGGAGGATGCGCGCGGGTGAAGAGGCCATCCGCTAGTCATAACACAACAATACTTTACGATAGAGCATCGAATGGACATGTTTCAAGTCACGTCAAGCAATTAGCATGCATCGAGGAGAAAAAAATGCACACATAAATTGCACAATATTGCTACTGTTTGCGCTGAGCCAGGCGCTGAACTTTGTGGAAAGATGATAGGATTTTTATGAAAAATTACTTAATATGTATAAATTGTTGATGTATACATATTTTATGCTTTTCGTGTTAAGACTAATCAAGATAAAATGTGGTTATATAATGATAAAAAATGAATTATATAATGATAAATGAAGTTACTTAATATTTAGTCTAACGTTTTAAAATTTTAATAAATCAATACAATATTAAAAAATTATATAAAAAATCTCTTCTTTTTATAACATTTTTAAATTATATATTTTATGCGAAAATTAGGATAAATTTTAACAATTTTCAAACGTTTTCAAAAAAGAACAAAATACCTTTGGAAATGAATATGGCTATCCTAAATATACATGTACAGGATGTTCTAGGTCAGGTCAATGAAACTTCAGGATCTTATAGAAAATTGAATTTGGAACAAAAAAGTTCCGATAAACATATTCCGGAAATGCTTCGTTAAAAAGTTACAGCTAACAAATTTTGAAAAATTATGTTCTTTTGATGATTTTTAAAAATAACTTTAAAACCCTTCATTTGCTTGAAAAAAGTAAGGAAATAAATCTGATGGGTAATTAAATAACAAACTAAATTACACCAATTTCATTTAATTCTGATAAAGCGTTCAAAAGAAAATAAGCTCAAAACAAGGAAAAAAACAAAAACTTGAAAAAACCACCTTTTGATGGTCTTTGTGTAAACACTACATTCGTAATGCAAATATTGCAAATGTAAACATAAAAATGTTTTTGTTAAATCTTGATCATAACTAATTACTTCCAGAGAATTTATATTAGCTATAACTTTTTAACGAAGCATTTCCGGACCTATGGATTTATAGGAACTTTTCTGTTCCATATTCAATTTCCTATAAGATCCTGAAGTTTCATTGACATGACCTGGGAATACCCTGTATATGTATGACGTTAAACTTAACCTATTAACTTTTCCAGTCAATTATTTTATCTTTTTGACGTAATGTTTTTCAATTTGCTAATTGATAGAAAAAAAAGAGGGAGAAAATGAAAGGCGCCACTACATCTATAAAAATATAATGAGTAAAATGTATATATATACATAAATATCGAAGAGATAAGTTTCTTAGAAATTATATTTCCACGTATAAAGTGATCTGCAGTATGATTTACGTAAGTGTAGCATTATCTAAAGACTTTAAAGACTTTTTTAAATTAGGTATAACAACCGTTACATTACATGTTATTCCCATGTTATATAGCAGTTATATTCTGTGTTTGCTGGGATATTTACTTCATTAGAATTACAAGATCTTGTAAAAATCATTTTAATGTATTGACCGTAGATAGCACGTACATCGAGCTAGATCTCGTTTTCCGCATGACATCTTGGTTTTAATTACATGTATCTTCACGGATCCTTATATATTCTTTTGACATTATTATTATATTTCTTTCATGCGTTCGATGCATGATTCCAACAAGAATGAGATAAAAGGTTTTTACGTAAAAGCTTTATGTAAAAAACTAGAGCAAAGATTCTCACACTATTATTACGATTGCAAACCGCTATCTAAAAAATGTTACAGGACTTTTCTGTTCAGTTTACTGTGCTCTACTTGCTCACGAGCGTTGTCAAGGGTGCTTTGGGACACCCTGTATATGGCTATTAGAAATTATCATTTAATTATGTACAACTGTTTTTTACTTATATTATGCGAATAATTATACGTTTAGTACGTTCTGAGAATGACAGGGCGAGCAAGCTGCGCGTCCAGGAACTCGGTCCTTACATCTACCAGGAGACGAAGGATCGCGTGAACGTGGTGATGCACGAGAACGGCACGGTGACCTTCCAGGATAAGAGATCGTTCGTGTGGATGGGGGGTAGACCCGACAACGACACCATCGTGCTGCCGAATGTGCCGTTGATGTTCACCACCGCATACGTCCGGGATCGGAGCTTTGCGGTGCGTTTCGTCATCAACACAGTGTTGTCGACCCTACAAGATGGCTATTAGAAATTATCATTTAATTATGTACAACTGTTTTTTACTTATATTATGCGAATAATTATACGTTTAGTACGTTCTGAGAATGAGAAAGTTTTAATACATTCTTCAATGAAACATCAATTAAAAAAAAAGGGACACATAGGTACCTAGTGAAAAATTATTCGGACTATTTATATTATTGTTATACCGTGACAAATTTTTGATCGGTGTTTCACTTTCACATATATGTATATATATACAATATATATATACGTAAATAACTGTAAGATAGCCTCGGCGTTTCCTTTGAGTTTTCCCGAGCAGGGAGATATCTCGAATCATGTTTTTCCGTCTGCCGGCGATAAAATGCGGTCGTACGATCCCCCATCCGGCACAGACTCCTATTTAACTCCCGATAATGAATCGAATGACATCGATTTATTACGTTGACAGTCGTGGTGCGAAAATAAACCCTACTTGGCGCTATCTTTCCTAAGCACTTTAGCGGGGAGGCTTTAACACCCAGGTCAACGACGACCTTGACAGTGAGCTCTCTTCTATTCTTCCTCATCTTTCTGTTTTTCCTCGAATATCTGCATCTATATTTCTCGCATTGTGTTTGCGATTGACCAGAAGCGAGTAATCTTACGTACAAATGCCAGAAAAAAGAAAAAAGAAGACTTTTATTTTTCTAAAAATTTTTCAAGGGTCTTTCGGAATTTTCCTTGCACGTGAAATTCTCAGGTAGTCTCTCCCCGAAATATTCGAATACCTGAAAGAGAACGGGGGGAGAAGGCGTTTGGAAAGCGCTCTGGATCGCCTCTGAACTATTTGTGTATCGGGAGGTGTTAAACATCAGAGGTCATCACCGCGGTAAGGTTATCGTTGGATTTTAACCAAAAGGGGGGAGATTTTTGTACGCCGTTGGCTGTGACTCGAGCATTAGTTGGACGAAAACGTTGCTCGTCGACGACGACGGATTTATCTGTTCGCGCTCCCACGACTTCGTCAAAGTTCTTATCTGATGCGTTTAACTATTCGTCTTCCGCTCTCTCTCTTTCTACGAGAGATTAGATTGATTTAAGCTTTGGACGAGAAAACTTTTCAGAGAGGGATTTACTTTCGATCGCGGTTTCAAACCGATCTGTGTGTTCCTCTCAAAATTCGCGAGATTTAATTAAGTTGTGAAGACTATCCTTTGAATTTCTACGAATCGGGATGGCAATCTCGGTGGTCGACACCGCGCTCGACATCGAGAAGAAAGCGATGAAGCATTGCACTCGACGCAATCGTCTTCACAGCTGGCTGACTTGGATCTATTGCGGCATGTTCCTGATGAGCTTCGCGAGCTTCTACGCTTTTTGGTACACAGACACCTTCTCCGACTACGTGCTTTCGCAGATGGAACTCCGCAACGGCACTCGTACCTTCGACCTGTGGCAGCATCCGCCTATCAAGCTCGAGTACAAGATTCGCATCTTCAATTATACGAACGTGGAGGATTTCGAGGCGGACAGGGCGAGCAAGCTGCGCGTCCAGGAACTCGGTCCTTACATCTACCAGGAGACGAAGGATCGCGTGAACGTGGTGATGCACGAGAACGGCACGGTGACCTTCCAGGATAAGAGATCGTTCGTGTGGATGGGGGGTAGACCCGACAACGACACCATCTTGGTGCCGAATGTGCCGTTGATGTTCACCACCGCGTACGTCCGGGATCGGAGCTTTGCGGTGCGTTTCGTCATCAACACAGTGTTGTCGACCCTACAAGAGCGGTCCTTTATCAATGAGACAGCCGGCGGTTTCATCTGGGGATACGACAACCGTCTCTTTGACATGGTCAAACCATTGATGATGTTCGAGCGTGACATACCGTACGACAAGTTTGGCATCCTGGTTACAGTACGTATATAACTGCGTTTAATCGCAGAAAGATTTTCGATATGAACAATAAAATTTTTTTTACAAATGTGTTTATTAAAAGAGCTTATTTATTTTCTCGAAATATTTTTATTTTATGATAAATAGAAAATAAAAATAAACTCATAAAAAAAATATTTTATAAGTCATGTATGTATGTGTGTGTATGACAAGAAGTTTTACTACTGTATTCGGTATAAAATATTCATTTCTTTAATCATATAACATTACTTTTATATAATAAATTTGCGCAAATTGTCTATAAATTGGAATAACAAGCAGTACAAAAAAATTTTTATGTGACAAAAATATTTTATGTGAGATATTTATGAGTTAAATGTCTTTCAATCGCGCATCTCTTTTTTGATTGCAGAGAAATGGTGTCAGTAAGGATCGCGTCACGGTAAGCACGGGATCGCGAAGCCTCGACAATCTCGGCATGGTCGAGCGAGTAAATGGGATAGACAAAAAAAAAGAGAATAAAAAGTAAATCTCCTTTTTCGTACAAAATAGATTATAATAGAAATAGTGTCTCTATCGTAGCATACGATTATAAAAATGCGTTATTTTGCAGAAAGACACCGAATCTCGAGATTACTTTTTCTTTTGCAGAACAATATATATAGGATGTTCTAAGTCAGGTCAATAAAACTTCAGTGTCTTATAAAAAATTGAATTTGGGACAAAAAAGTTCCTATAAATATAGGTTTGGAAACGCTTCGTTAAAAAGTTATAGCTAATAAACTTCGAAATATTACGTTTTTTTGATGATTTTTAAAAATCACTTCAAAACTCTTCATCCATTTGAAAAAAGTAACGAAATAAATCTGATGTGTAATTAAATAACAAACTAAATTATATCAATTTTATTTAATTCTGATAAGGCGTTCAAAAGAAAATAAACAGAAAACAACGAAAAAAGCAAAAACTTGAATAAACCACCTTTTGATGGTCTTTGTGTAAACACTACATTCATAATGCAAACATTCCAAATGCAAACATAAAAATGTTCTTATTTAATTTTGATAATAAATAATTACTTACAGAGAGTTTATTAGCTATAAATTTTTAACGAAGCATTTCCGGATCTATGTTTATAGGATCTTTTCTGTTCCAAATTCAATTTCCTATAAGATCCTATAAGACCTTTCATTGATCTGACTTGACACACTCTGTATACAGTATATAATTTATGTTTGAGAGATAGTTTATGTTATGAGAGATATTAAAAAGCATAATTAATTGTATTTCCATTGCTTCCGCAATTAAAAACAAGAAAAAAATGTAATAAAATTTTTGTCTCCAGCGCATCGCGACTCCCATGGCCGGTTGGTCAAGAACGCAGGTGAATCTGGAGGTGCGAAAAGCGATTGGCGTGCCATTTCTCGGAAAACTGAAGGACGGCGCGATTCTTCCGCTCATCTGGATGGAGATGGGGGTAGACAAGATTCCGGAATCGATGTTGGAGATCCTTCAAGAGGCGCATTTCACAGTTGCCAGAGTGGAGATGGCTCTACAATGGTGCAGTCTCATAGCCATGATACTCTCCTTGAGCGCGCTGGTCACCTATCTCTGGAAGTGTCGCGTTCAACGGGACAAGAGCCTTCCAAGAAAATTGTTCGTCTGAATAAACGATCTTATCGAATCGACAGGGAAAAAAAGTAGTAGTTCGAGATCGAAAGAGTGCATCCGAGGAGAGGAAAAGGATTCTAAGATAGCACGAATGTGTCTAAAAGAAAGATTAATTTTTTGAAACATTTTAAAACGCCTCTTAAATTTTCTTCAGAGACGGTTTTCAGAGTCTCGGGTTTTTGAGTCGATATTCGCCTTGAATAGAGAAGATATTATGCGATTATGCAAATCGTTAGGCTTTCGCAAAATTGCAAACGGGAATTTATAACATCTTGAGTAAAAATAATAATGTTGTGCAATTAAAATAATGTACATAGCAAATTATATGTGAAACAATTTGATACACACTCTGTCATTATTATTGTATTTATAGAGATAATTTTAATATGATAATCGACAGAGATGAGGAAAGAAACACGAAAATATCAGTCTTCTAAAATCACATATTAAAAATATTTAGTTAATAATGTATCGAATTAAAATAGTTCAGTTATAAACAGTAGTTATTAGTCATAAACAGTATCAACTTGTTCGAATTACGACAATCCGTATCAAACATTTTGAAAAAATTACGAATATAGATATTAGTTTCTATTGTACTTGTAATGTTAGAGAGAGAATGTTTCTTTCTTTCTTATATTGTAGAAAAGTAGGTAAAACGACGAAAATTAAAAAAAGATAGGTGCGCTAAAACAAATATCTAAGCTAGCTATATAAACAATGCGATACGGGATTCCTTTTATTTTGTACGATATTGCAGAATTACGATTTACGGCCGAGTGACGGCGAAAATATTATATAATAATATAATCGATCCAGAAAGATCGGATGACGAAGAGCGTAAAGTTCATTCTCATGGACTTTAAGCTCCATGTCGTTGGACCGGCTCTTACGAGAAACTGACGTACCGCGTTGCAACGTGAAAGAAAAAAGAAAAAAAAAAGGAACACACCCGCAACGCGGCCAAGTTGTGATTAAGGCTTTGAAAGTGCGTCGAAATTATATGTAATTATGTAGAGACGGATGCAATCCGTCGTGACATTACATTTGTCGTGTTATTATCAAATAGTTGCTTACCGCAACGGTGTATTACGTGCGACGGTATGTACCATGTTACCAATGATGTGATGGACAACCGTACTTAAAATTAAGTGCTGACACGTAGCAGTACGTATTACATACGACCATTTAATTAGCTCGTTATCTCGATAGCGAGATACACGATGTAGGGTGCTTTAACATTTAAGTTTTTTTGTTTTTTTTTTTTTTGTTGGGTTCCTGCGACACTCGCGATATTTAACCGATATATCAATGTATATACGTGTCGCCTTTTCTAACAAAAATGTAGGAACGAAGAAGAGAGAAACACGCGAGCTTTTGCTTGATCTGTATTCTCTTTTAGAATTTCTCGATGTGTCGATATGAAAAAAAAAAGTATATATATATATATACATAATACAAATGTCATATATCTTTATTTTATAGATTAAAAAAAAATTTTGTTTAGTATAAATCTTTATTTTTTGCAATCATCTCCGCAATTCCGTCGATTTTCACTCACGTGTTTCGGAAATAATTTTTTTCTGCGGTCGTAAATTAAAAATCGCTTGATTTATTAATTAATTCGTCCGTGTACGTGTATATCGGACCTGTATCCGTCGTATTAAAATACCGACAATTCTTGTAACGACGTATTCCGAGAAACGAAATAAATGTTCAATTCCTTTAAAAAATGCGCGAAAGACTTGTTTTCGCAAAAAAGCTGTCTCCACCTCCACGATACGCGCGTTACACATATAAAGACACGCACTGTCGATCATCGTGTGCGTCGGCGATAACGCGTAATAATATTTATTATTGTGCGCAATAACATCGGCGTGTCGCAATATGTCAGCTTATGACGTGTAAGTTGGTGTGGGAGCGGAATGATTGTGAACACCAAATCGATATTTCACCATAAAATTAATTCTATCGTATATTTTCCTCACCTGTTGCATTCTCATGAGTTTTTAATTCCGTCCTTCACTGCAGGAAGAACGGAAGCTTGAGAAATTTTCATTTAAATTCCCAGAACGAAGGAGAGAAGGGGAATACATACATGCGTGAATAAAAAGTACAAGTAGATAAGAGTAGAAGCTTCCAATCTTTCCCTCCCTCTTTCTTTTACGAATTTAAATCAAAATATATATTTCTTTTGATACCCTATTTTATTTTCATAGAGTTATACGCGCGTGATTTATGAGTTAGTAAAATACATATCGAAAGAATACAACCATCTAATGATTACACTGACACCAATAACCTGATTATTTTTTCTCGCACACAATTCATTTGGCATCTTTTGATTTCTATCGTACAAATATATCTACGTCGAATAATATTATTTATAATAGTAATATATAATAATAAAATAATAGTAATACATGTACAAACGAAAATAACGAGAAATAGTACATTCTTGATAATTACAATTAGTAAACGATAACGATCGGCCAAGTTCCTATGTACAGAAAAAAATTTCTGTCATTCTGCTATTAATATGTCTTAATTTTACACATATACTCCTCGTCGCAAAAAACACTCGCGAAAACAATTCCGATTAAGGAGTCGCGAACGTAGTTTGGCCTCGGGACGCTTCATGGACGGAATATCAATTTCATCTTCGATAATAACGTCGGTAATTCACAACAATAATTATATCTATCGTCTCGCGCGATTAAACGTTGATTTAAAATTCTGTAATGTTTTCGATTCTAGAACGAGGAAAGCCGCTCATCAATATTAACAATTACGGTATGTTATAAATGTCATCGTAAATTTCAATCGCCAAGTTCCTCGGAAGAATGACATAACTCACGTTTTTCATTTTCATGCTGTCAAGAAAAAATATTGCACCGAGAAGCGTCATAGATAATCTGTGAAAAGATCGGATTTTTTTCCCCTTAGCATTATAATATAGAATAAAAAGATTTTGGTAAATCACAACTAAACGTGTAATAAAATCTTTCTTTCTCGTCTATTTTAACTAAATTTCTAATTTAATAAAAGTGTTATTTTATTCCCCAAAAAAATTCAATGATAAGAATTTTTAAAAAATGCGATAAATATAGAATTTTCATTAAAAAAAAAATATTGACTCTAAATTTATCGAATTTAATATTATTTCATCGAATTTAATGTAAAATATTATTTATTCCCAAAGTATTTTTCTTGATATGAATTTTCGGAGAGTTAGTTCTTTTACAGAAAAATATCATTGATTTGTCTTAATTTCGTAAAATTACGTACGTAATACTGAAGCACTTGCTCCACAAATCTCGAATTTATTTGTACTTACGCGACTCATCCGTCTGTCAAAATACGCTCCCGAAAAACGGGAGGGGAAAAGAAGAGAAGTACACGCGAGTGACGTAACATAAATAATCTAACACATCGGCGTAAAATTCGCGTCGCTCTCTCTCTCTCTCTCTCTCTCTCTCTCTCTTCGATAAATTCGCCTGTAACAATCCTAATCGAGAGATAAAACACATGCCCATCGTCTTACAATAAGATAAGCATATTATCGTACAGGTCCTCGCGCGTTTCTCGTCGCCGGATGAGACTCGAGGCACTCGCGCACTCGTCGACTTCCCTCAATCACACGATCCGATTTAAATTTGACACCCGTAAATTTTTCTTTTTTTACTTGCTGAAGGCTAGATTCACCTGGCCAGTCTTGGTGTTGGTTGCGTTCGCCGGCAACGGACTGCTGAGGTGAAGTTTCTCCTGACGTTTGGCGGCACGTGCCAAGCACATGAACGCTCCCAGAAGAACGATCGCCCCGATCGCGGCGAGGGCGCCGGAAACCGCGGCATGGGCCACCGGAGGCAGGTCCACCACCAATTTCAGCAAGGTACGCATCTCCTGGGGTAGCTCGTCGACGCACTGCGCGAGAAAGAAAAGTATATATTATCCGTTTAAGCTACTGGGCGATCGATTTCGATCGCGTGAGTTTTATCAGAAATCTCATCTTTCAAAATCACGAATTGATTTGTCAAATAACTCACTAAATTATTTGGAATTTTTATCACTCCTTGCCGTTAAATAATTTGCATACGCATTCCTTCCTTTCCAATATTTTATTCATACTATTTGATATCTTATTGACAAAGTCAACGAAAAAAAAAAAAAAAAAAAAATTTGAGCTATGCGAGAATATAAATAGAAAAAAAATTCTCAATTTATCTGTGGTAAGATATCTCGCCAGAATTGTCGTCACACAATCAATTATAAAAAGATCGATCTTTGTTTAACATTCCGCGAAACTTCCTTTTAAATTGAAAATAAATATTCAAGGCAGAAATTTCTTAATATCGTTAATGTTGCATTGTGAGGGGACGCCGTTGAACTCTTTATTAGCGACGTCGGGATACGAGTTCCATTAATATGAATCATAAGCTAAAACATGTGTAGTGTATTCTACGCGTGCACGGTATTCAAACGCACGTCGTGTGCGATGTGTTACATCCGCACAAATGGCGAACGGTAGGCACGTTCGCCATTGTCGTCGAAGACAAAAATAAAATTTTACCTGTGTGACCGTGCTCGATGACGACAATTCGTAAGCGACGCGACATTCCTTCGCCAGTAACGTATTGTAAATTAAGAAAGGCAGAGAGACAGAATCACATAGAATATAATCAACAGAGAAATAACACGTAATTTAAAAAGTGAAAATTTGAACTCACCAAAAATTAAGAATAATATTATACCCCATAAATATTTTAATATGTATAAGTTCTGTTTTATAATTATACATCAAAAATAAAATTTGTTTCGATCAAATAAATATATTTTGTTAATTTCGATTTATTTTACTTAATAAATAAATATGTATATACTTTGTTTCCAAAAATGTTTTGTTATATTAAATAAATTATTAGTTGCATGTAATAAAAATTATAATTTTTTAAATACTATATTTAAAATTTTAATATAAAAAATGTTTATTCGAAGATAAAAAATTATTTTAAAATAAAGAAATCCTATGTTTTTGAAACTACCAGC